TGTGTGTGTGTGTGTGTCTGTGCACGTGCTTTTATCTAAGGCAAGTTATGTTTTATATTTTATATTTTTTTCTTCAAAGGACATCATGAACAGTGAGAAAAGTTATGATTCATTGCCTAATTTTACTGCTGCCGACTGTGAGTATCCAGCTGTTAAGAGGTAACATTTAGATTGTGTCTTTGTGTGTACACCTTGTCTATTAGGGTGTGTGTTTCTGACCTGAAATAGCAAAAATTGAAATAGTAAGAATAGTTCTCATTATTAATGAGGACTTTGTTGCATAATACAAATCAGATGTGAGATTGAGCTTGATATCAGTGGGAAGAATGTTTTGGAATCCGAGAGTTAGGACTGACCATTTCATCTAGAGGATGAAATTGTTGCTGGGATAGCCGTGTGTCTGCGGCTGGAAGGAGGGCAGCCTGCACCAGTCATCTTCTCTTGAATGGCGTGTGGGGTCCACAAACATGATCTGCGTTTCTCTGTGCTGATCTTAGTGGGACTTACATTGAACATGTAGCTCTGTGCACGAAGCTCCTGTGAAAAGCATCACTTACTTCTTAAAACTCGGAGGACTTCTGCTCTTCCAGCGTGTCCTCATTAGCACTGTCAAAAGTGGTAGCTGGAGTTCACCTCTCGCAGAGCTGAGGCTTCGTCCGTGTTGTGTGACGGATTCTTTTTGATGTTGATGGCCCATGCCAGTGAATTATGAAGGGACTATAACCTGGGGCTTTTTCCTCCTCCTGTCTGTCGCATTTCAAGATGTAGTAAAGGGAGAACTTGCTTGCAGGTCTGCGGCTTCTCGGCATAGGAAGAAACCAGTACATTGACCTGATGAATCAGTGTAGATCTTCAAAGGTGCGTCATCCCTCGATTGCAACCAGAGTCTGCTTTAGAGTGGTGGAGTCCTAGTTAACATGCATGGCATAGGGGTGGTGAACAGATAGATAGATCTTCAGTGTAAGTGTATACTGAGTTACAGCATATAAATTTAGTTTTACAAGTTAACGGTTCTTTGGGCATTTTAGCCCCAGTATTAATGGGTGAAATAATGCTCACATTTTCAAATGCAGTTTTTAACCTCGGGGGTTTCATTCCATTTGTTTCTGGATTGAAGTCTAGGTTTAAATAATTTATTTTAAAATAAATACAGTATTGAGACTAGTTACCATTTTAAACATGAATGTTTGAAGAGGTTTAGCCTGTTGTAATGTCTTATATGATGATGGAAGACAGTGGTAATTTGGATTGGTTGCACTTAAATGTTGTACTACTGCAGAAATTCTTCAGAAGGAAAACTGCCCGTGACCTACTACCAGTGAAGCCAGTGGAAACTGCCATTGAGGCGTGGTGGGTGGTGCAGGCTGGCTACATCACAGAAGATGACATCAAGGTAGAGACTAAAACCAGAGTTTTTATCTTTTAAACTTACTTTATAATTTTAAATTACATTACATAATGTTTTAAAAAGTAACATTTGATTTTCTTGTGGAAAATCAAGCTAATTTAGAATGATCTTAGTAGGTTAGATGGAGCTTGTAACACCCTCTTTAATGGTTCAGGAGGCATGCTTTGGTTCATGGACAGTAATCTGGGGTCTAAATTAGTGGTCACACCAGCAGCCATAATAATGTGACATATCTTCTGAACACTGACTTTGTTGTGCACATGTGTTATACCCTCATGTAACTATGTGCTTGTCTCCTTAAGTCTCATGACAACCCCAGGGGAATGTATTGTTTGTAGCCCAGTTCACAGATGCGGAAAGAGCACACAGCAGTCAGGTTGGAATGATAGGAAGGAAGGGTCCAGGATTGGTGGATACTCAGGCAGTCTCTTTGGAATCGCTGGTCAAGTCACTGTTGGATGACACTGCAGTAGGGTTGGTGCCCCATGGGGCAGTCGTACGGAGGCCAAGGACAATGATGTCCCCAGGGCTGATACAGGCTGTACCTGTCTTGAAGAGGACGCTGCTTGAAGAAAGGGAGAGACCGAGGGAAATGTCTGTGTGACATTTTCACTCTACTTATCTGTTTATTTGTCTGTGTGCTCCTGGAGCGCATTTTAAAGTTGCAAGCTGTAGATATTTTGCTTGGCCGTAAGCCCTTCCTAATGGAGCTCTTGGGCTCTCATAAGCTGCTGTCATAGCTTCACCATTGTTGTTCATGTGGGTTTTTCCTCAGTGGACTTGTGGTAAGGATTTGGATTCATGTATCTGATTCCATTTTTAAAGAAAAAGAATAAACCGGTGTGTTTATCAGTGAGCATTTACTGCTAACCAGCAGATGTTGTTTATGGTGATAGTTATCTAAACTGTTGGCCCCGTAGTTTGGCAGTTCCCGTGATGGTTGTGTGCGTAGTTTTGTTGTTTAAATTCTAAGTTGATAGATGGCAGTGATAAGGCTCATCTCATACATGTAATCAGTTGTGAGTTCCAGTGTGAGTACATCTTAGGAGACTTGCAGATTAGTTAATTAGGACAGAAGTGAATTGGAAATCTTTTTCTTTTTCTTAGATATGCACTTTTCCCGAGAAGGGCGCTATTGATAAGCTCATCGACTCAGGCCCACAGCTCTCCGGGTCACTGGATTACAACGTGGTGCACAGTAAGTGCTCAGTGGACATGGTCTTGGTCAGTCCAGAAACTTGCTTTACTAGCCCTGAGGGAGTCACCTGAGTCATGTTGCTTGAAGTGTGATCTTATCTTTATTTTCTGGTATGGATATAATTATTATTATTGACCTACACAAATGAATGATAAGAGAGTTGTAGTTCAAAAATATGTAAGAAGTCAAGATTTCAAAACTGTAGTTAGTTTTCTCTTACACTAATTTCTTTTTCTTCATGTAGTGTTCAGTTTAAGACATCACAGAAAGCCAGCAGCCAGGCTTGTGGTAAAAATGCTGTTGTGTAGTGTTCCATCTAACATCAATGCTTTGTCTTTGTAGGTTTGTATAACAAAGGCTTTATTTATCTGGATGTGCCCATATCAGACGACAGTTGTATAGCTGGTAAGTGTGGGCTGACATTGTGCTCTCTGTTTTGAATGACTGCTTAAAAAAAGCTCCATGGTGTGCATCACCTGATAAATTAACACAAAGCATTCTGTAATCTTAGATACTCAGATTCTTTTAAAGAACATTATTTTCACATTTAACCCATTGTGGTTTTATTAAAATTTCTTATTTCATTTTTATGTTATTTCTAATATTATATATTTTATACACACAATTTATATATATATATATA